GAACAAGGTGCTACGAGATCACAAACAGCAAAATATTTAGTTTTGTCTAAAGCTTTAAATGAAGGCTTTAGCTGATTCTGTAGCTAAATTCTAAAGGACAGAAGGACTCACTCAGGAGGACAAAAGAGGAAATTACTAATTCAGTAATAAATTGCAAAGTGCTAGAAAAAGAGTTGGAAACTGTGTAAGAAAGTAACAGTTTCATCTTAGAGTTTGTAACAATGAAGGAAGTACAAGCAAGATTAGTCAAAAATAGTCTGTTTAGAAAATAAATTTCAAAACATTCAGAGGAAAGAGAAATGACCCATTGACAAAACATTCTAAAAAGTACCCTTGTTCAAGAATCGTGGGAGAGTCTAAAAAATTACATTAGTTATTTGAGCTCAAATAATTTTAGCTATTGATAAAGCCCATCTGATAAAGATCACTAGGAACAAATCTGTAACCCAAAAAGGTAAGTTTATTAACTTGCTATAGCAAAGGACATTATACAGCAGAGGAATTGTGGCCATGTCTCAAAAAAAAAAAATAATAAGGAAGAAATGAGGAATCATTATAGTATTTAGAAGAAGACAGGCGTTTAGGTAAAACTAAATAAAGCAGTGCTTGATATGCTCAAAGCAAATCAGAGCTGTATGTAATGTCAGACCTGGACTGAGAAGCAGATTCAAGATTCTAGTTCCTTAGAAACATACATTTAAGATTAACGTAGAATATTGCCTCTGAAAATCCCTTATCTGAACCTCTGCACTAGAAATTGAGACTGTTTTTGTAAGTCAAAGTGACTAAAAGAGTTCAAATTTGCCAGGCAAGAAAGGGACATTCTGTTCTCACTGGTAGACTCTCAGAACAACCAACCTTCTGACAATCTAGGATTTTAGAGAACAAAATTCCTTGGCACTATGTCATTTGATAATTAACAATGCAATTTTGCAAGTTCACACTTTATAATACTAAACAATTAAGAAAAACAGAAAATGTGATTTTATGGGGCAGATGTCCAAGAGCTCTGATTTTTAAAGAATTTGAGCTATTGAGAACAGGGAGGCAGGGCATATGAAATTAGTGAATCTGGAAAGCCTCAGGAAGAAAGATTGTGTTAACCAGCCTCCAAGATTGCCTCTGGTGATCATGGTGTCCTATTCATGCCCTCATGAAATTTCCCTCACATCAGAGCTGAGTCTTGTGATGAAGGTGATGCTATGTGACTTCAAAGGCCATATTTTAAAAGGCACTGTGGCTTCTGCCTTGATCTCTTGGATTGCTTCCTCTTGGTGAAGCCAGCTTCCACAGAGAGCACTCAAACTGTCCTGGAGAGGAATTGAGGCCTCCCACGAGAAGCCAGACCAGCTTGCCAGTCATGAGAGTGGGCCATCTTGGAAGCAGATCCTCCATCCTCAGTCAAGCCTTCAGATGACTGCAACTTCATGAGTAATCTCAAACCAGACAGCCCAGCCAAGATGCTCCTAAATTCCTGACTCGTAGAAACTGTGAAAGGTAATGTGTTTATTGTATTGTCACTAAATTTGGGGGTAATTTATTATGCAGCCAGTGTGATTTGCAGCAAACCTTGAAAAACAGATGGAAAAAAAGAGGATTCAGAAGAAGATACAATTGGAGCAAAGATGCAGAAACCAGACGGTACAAAGCAGATTGAGGAAGGTGATTAAGTCTGATGTGGATGGAGGCTGAGGGAGGCATGTGACATGAGAAAAAGTTGGAAATGTTTAACTGAAGTCAACTTGTGGAGAATCTAAAACACCAAGCTAACCGGGTAGGATTTTTATTCCATGTATTTTATTCCAACTATTGCAGGTTTTGGGAAAGGGTGTGACCTCCGAATTTATTTAAGAAAAATCATGCTAGTGACAGTGTGTAGAGAGGATTGAAGGAGGAACTATCAAGCAGAGAGACCAGTGTGGACACATGAAATAGTCTAGGTAAAAGATAGTGAGTACCTGAGTCAGGGCAGCACAAATCAAATGGGAAGAAAAGGACTTTGTGGATTCACATAAAATGGGAATAGGTGAAATAATTAATTCATGGGAAGAAAACTTTTACCTTGATCCTGATATTTCCTAGCTGAATGTTTAAGAGGATGATAATATTTACCCAAGGTCAGAGACAAAGAAGTGGTACCTGCTCATCAGGAAAGACAATGAGATGCAAACAAATTCCTTACTAGTTTCTCATCACCAAGATAAACTGCAATATCCTTAGCATCTCACATCAACCCGGTTATGACATAAGCTTTGCCTACCTTTCTAACACCTATCTTGGCAGTCCTCCCCTCCTACAGATGTATTCTACCCCTACCCCAGGAGATAGAGGCCTGCTGCTATTCACTTCTATAGTCTTCCCTTGAATATCCTATTCCTTCTACGTGAGTCCCTTCCTACCCTAACATCCTCACGTTCAACTCAGTTTATCCTTTAAAACGAAGCGTTGATGGTCCCCTACTCTGAACGGTCATCTGTGGCCAGTCCCCCCAACCCCTTCACCTCATTGCCAAGTTAATTATTCTCTTCTTTGTATTCTCTTCTTTTTTCATATATAATTCTATTAATATGTAGCGTGTCTGGGGAGGCAGATCTTAAATTTTTTTAGAGAAACGGCCAGTCATTTCTCTGGGACAGTAAATACCTCAAATCACTGAGAACAAATCATCTTTGCTTAGAAAAG